AGATTTGCAATATAATCACAAGTGTCTATGACCCCTGCTAAAACCAGTTTGGTCATCTGATAATCCCCTTTCAATGGCTAGTGTCAGACATTGTTGTATGATCTTAAGTAGAATTTAAGTAGAATTGGAGCAACTTTTGGAGTTGCCCTTTCTGGCCATGGAATGAACGCTTAGCCTTTCTAATTCTGTAGTCATGTGTTCATTTTCTATATTTTTTTGACCCACGGCTGTGATGGTTTAGAGTGGTACAGGCCTCAGTAATTCTGTGGAAATGGTATCAACGCTGGGACCTTAGTGTTTGGCAGCTGGCTCATTGCCCGCAGAACTTCTTCCTGAAGAATCACTGGTTCTATTTCCCTTTCCTTATCATCCTGAGGATGCCGGGCCTCTTTGTTACTGGAATTCAGCTTTTCTGTATGTTCTCACCATCTATTCTTGGCACCTTGTTGGTCAGACAGTTCTTTCCTTTACTTGCTTTTGATGTGCTTTTAAGATCAGTAAATGGTATTTGCATCTTTTTGATTTGTACACGTGGAATTCTGGTATAGCTCTTCATGCAGTCCTTTCTTACATGTTCCTTAGTTTGCTTATGAAACATCTACAAGAAAACCATCAGGCTCAAAGAGCCTCAAAGACCTTATATCTCTTCTTACTGTTTGCAATGCTAGTCCCAGTAAACTTTGTTGTTTTACCTTGCTGCTCTTTGGAAATTCGTATTCAATCTCCTTGCTTGCTCCCATTGGCCTGCTCTTTGGTTGCTTTTCTTTGCTCAGCTATTCTGAAGGTTTCATCTGACAGCCACTTGCGCTTTTTCTCTAGCTTCTTGTATGGTATGTGTTCAAACTGTTGCTTCAATGATGGTCAATTGAATTTCTTGTCACGGTTCATCTGGCATCTTCTCAGAAGTTGTCCAGCAGTTCAAACTTATTTTTTACTTCAGTTGCATAGGGATTTTGGAGATGTCTAAATGTTTTGCTAGTATGGTCTTTTTGATATTGCATAATTTCACTCTGATCTTAGCCACCAACAATTCATGATCTAAACTGCAACTGGCACCCAGATATAACTTGACAGCCAGGACTGAACTGGACCATTGATGTATGAATAGAATAGAGTTGATCTGATTATGGTGCAGTTTATTTGGTATTGTTCAAGCGTATAAGCAACACCTGTGCTGATTGAACCAGGCTCCCAACTTTTGCACTGAAAGCATCCAGTGTGTAAACAATGTCTTTTTGGGGCACTTGTTTTAGCACTTTTCTTGGCTGACATACAAGCTCTGTTTCAAGCTCCATTGCACCAGTTGCTGGGGCATAACTTGGACAATTGTGATGTTGAATGGCATAGATTCGGATAGTCATAATATGATAATTAATCATCAAGAAACTTTCCATTGCTTAGGCAAATTCCATTCCATTTATAACTTATATATAATGATTTTCTCAGAATGGAAATAGCTGTTGTCTATCCTGTGCCACTCATTGATGCCAACCTGGTCAGCTCCCACTGGATAACGAATTTACCTTGGACATTCCATATTGCTATCCAATGTATATAACTTTTTTTAATTCAAATATTTTTCACTATAAAGTGTATTTATTAAATTTTATACACAGGGCTTATAAACCAGCCCCTTCTGCTAACTCTGAGTGGCATACAATTCCCTAATACACATTGGGGATTAAAACTGACTAGTTTGAAAAATAGTAATTAGAAATATTTCTTTCTATTATTGTTAATGTTTTTATTGTGAATGAATATTGTGAATAAAAACATCAACAATAATAAAAAAAAAACCCAATCTCAAAACTGAGAGGCTATTACAATACACCAGTTACTCTGGCTTGGTGGAAAGTTTTCTCAGTTTCCTAAATACTAGAAGGAAGGCTTGATCCACATCGGGAGGAGTGGTATTCCAGAGCAAATATACAAATATACAAAAGAATGAAGGCTATTGCTTAACGCATTGTAAGCCGCCCTGAGTCTCCGGAGAAGGGCGGCATATAAATCAAATTAAAAAAAAAAAAAAAAATGGCAACCGAAAAGGCATGGTTAGTGTGGTCCCAGGAGGTGACAGTCTGTTTCTGAGGAGACATAGTGGCTCTGACCTACTGGATCTTATCATGTGAGCAGAAGTTATTGGCAGAAGGAGGTCTGAGTTTGAGCTATAGTCTCAAGAAGGGCTATAGGTCCTGAAGCACCCCCAAATTGCAGGCCAACTGCATCCAAGGGTATAAATCTTATTCAGAGTTAACAATGGAATTTCACTGAAATTAGCAGTCCTTCAAACTCACAGCCACTCTACTCTGTATGTTCGGACTGAGTTCCATCATGTTCCTCCAGCCACCATCCTCTCCAATTTAAAACCAATAGCTCACCACCTAACCATTCTGCTGATCACTAGGTCAATAGAGGGACCTCCTTTCTACAGGTAGTCCACAGCTAACATGGTAATTGGGATCAGGAACTCTTGTCACTAAATGGTCATAGTGGAATGTCACGTGACTTTGCTGACTTACAATGGCAGTTCTGGCAGTTTTTGTTGCAGTTGTTAAATGAATCCTGTGTGGCCCTTAAGCATGACATCGTACCACACGCAAATTGCCACCTGCAACCTTTTGCCAGCTTCTCCACTGACTTTACTTGTCAGAGGTCCAGCAGTGAATGTCACAAATGGTGACAATGTGATGCAGCCAGTGCTGTAATTGTGCAATCATGTGACTGCAGGGATGCTGCAATGGCCATAATTTTGAGGACTGATTGTAAGTCTTCTTGTTCAACACCATTGTAACTCCAACTAATCACTGACTAGTTCTTGTTAACAAGAACTACCTGATTTATCTATTCTCCTGTCTGTCCCCACTTTCACCAAGGTCCAAATGGGAAGAGTTCAATTCACTCCCTCTATAGCTTTATACCCTTCCCTCTTCCAATTTTTTTAGTCTTCTTTTCTTGTCATATCTGTACATTATCTAGCCTTCCAAACACAGCATAATTTCTCTAGTAAAGTAATCCTCATCATGCAGTGCTTGGAGAAAACCACAATTAGCTGTTTTCCAGGCACAGATTAGTATTCTGGGAAGCAGGAACGCGAGTCTCTCTAACTCTGGGCTCTTGTCAGCAATTTTAAAAATGATATATGCTCTGGCAGATACAGTCAGCCACAGCTATATTGGGGCTTACTCAACAAAGGCCTGACTCTCAATGTTTGCTGTTGATGATCTTATTTTAGGCCCAATCTGGCACAGAATGGTTAAAATCAATCCAGTCCAATTCCTCTACAGTTTTTCCCAACCCTTGGAAAATATAATCTGCTCTGTCTAAAACACCCACCACCAGCAGCTACAAGGCTCAGACAGGCTGCCTCTAATATTGTTTGGACAGTGCTAAGGCAAATCCAGCTCATCTCTACTTTTTCTTTTTGTCTGATCTAAATTCTTGTATGCTGTCTCACTACCTCCAAGGAGCCTTGACACCAACACAGCCAGGACAAGGTTGGCATTTCAGGCAAGGTTGACCATTTCTCCATCTTCTGAACAAGTTCCACTCTCTCCTCAATCTCAGCTTCTTAATCTTAAACCACTTTATGGTACCATTGCAACATCATTTCTGACTACTCAACCACTTTGATTAATGTTCACACTTTATAATAAATTATTTTTTTCTTTTTCTTTTTATGTTTTTTAGATTTTTTGTTTTTATGTTTTCTAACTGGTAGAATTTTAATTTTATTTCTGTTTTTTTTTCCTTTCTAAATTTTCTGTACCCCATCCATCCTTATGCTGGGCCAAAATAAAGGTAGATCGAGTGATCAATCATGATGTTTCATACAGTCCACATAATTTAAAAGTCACCAAGTTTGGAAAAGACTGTTCTAAAAGGTAACTGGCATAATTCCCAAATGTTAGTGTATGGCACAATAAGCGAGTGCCCCAGATCCTGGGAAGAAATGTATGTCAATCTGCCCACATGCAAAATAGAGCATATGTTTTAAAATAATTTCCAGCACAGCAGCTGTCCTTACCTGGAATAGCCTGAAAACACTTCAGTGACAGATGGGTTCTTCGTCTTTTTCAACACGTTCTTTGCCATTTACTATCGTTCTCTTTGTGATGATTTTCTTGCCACCCACAATTTTGCTGGTTGTGATGATGGAACGGAATTTGCCAGTTTTGCCCCTGTTTAGAGATGTGATGGAGGAGCGGGAGCAGCTCCCTGGGATGTTAGAACCAAAGGATGTGAAACCAGTTCCTACAATGGGGGAGACGCCCGTGATAGAAACCGAAAAGCTCCTGTCAGTTTTGCTTCTACATCTGCGGGGATTTAGCCGAAGCCCAGAAAAGTCTTCAAACAGATTGTCAAAGATATCTTGAGAAAAGGAATCCATACCCATCTGTATGTTCAGCTCTGGTCCGAAGAAGCTGAATTCAGGGTCCGCCTGCCTTGTCCTACGCCCTTTGTCCCCATGGCCACTCCTCTGCACATTTCCAACTCTACCTTGTCCTCCTGCAGGTTTTTTTTCATTTAACTTCTTTTTGCTGGATTGATCGTAGGCATCTCGTTTTTTAGTATCAGATAAGACTTCATAAGCTTTAGAGATTTCTACAAATTTCTTTTCAGCTGCTTCTTGGTTTCCTGGATTCTTATCAGGATGTACTTTTAAGGCCAACTGTCGGTAGGCCTTTTTAATATCATCTGCAGATGCACTTCTTGATACTCCCAAAACCTCATAATAATTTACCATCTTCTTCAAATGTTGATCACAACAGGCTGGTCTGAGACAAGTAACTGAACAAAGTCTAGAGGCCTTTTTGGAGCTCTGTCAGTCTCACAGTTGAAGTGTAAAATACATTTGAAAGCAAACAAAAGAAACATACACTCAGAAACCCCTGAGCCATAATACTGTTAAATATGTATCATGTCAGGGCTTTTGGTAATCTTAACTGGGATAATAACCAATCAGCTCAAGAGAAGGAAACTGTTGATTTCAAAATTATTCAAACTGTTCCCTGTAAAAGATTGTGACATCATCACTAGATAAGCTAAATAACGGTTAGATTTTGTTCATTTGCATACTGCAGCCCCATTGGCCCTGGGGTGGCTTTAATTTATTCTACATGCAAATCAAATACAAGATATGAAAAGGTCCATATTACTTCACAAACTCATTCCAGCTTATTACCAAAACCTACAAAACTGTAAATATCAAGCAGAGGTACAGCATTTTGGCAACTGACTTGGTAATTTTAGTGAACGGCACATCTGCAGATAATTTTAATCACAATTTGAAATTTCATCTCCATAGTCTCTTTTTTACACTGGCATGAAAATTTGAAGTTGAATGGGGCACAGATATTAACTGAAAGGAATATTTCAGGTATAAATAGTTTTTGCCTTTTTTTTGGATTGGCTTATGTTTCCATTTTGTGCAAAAAACCTTTCCGTTTGCTGATTTTCTCTTTATATTTGAATGCCTAACTTTAGCTGACTGTGTATTTAAAAATTAAATGACATCTGAAGAAAACAATTAAGCATATGTGCCATTTTAAATAAATATCCTGAATTTACATCTCTTGATCCCATTTCCTACATAGCCTCTTTCAAGTGCCATTTTAGTAAGATGATGTCATGCTTTCTAAGTCTGTTTCTAGAGGACAATGTTTGTCCTCAGAGATATTTACTTTAAGCAGTTTAGTGGAGGGCAGATCAATATTGCCTACCCATATCAGCCCTGTCACTCCTAAAGGTACATAATGGCCATATTTTATGTAACTTTAATAGCCAAACATTGCAAGAACTCTATGATCTCCTGTCTATGGAGATTCTCAATCATCCAAGTCATAGTTGTCCCAGATGCTTTTATAAAAGATAACTGGACTTTCTTGGGTTTTTTCCTTGAAAATATTTTGCTTCTCATCCAAGTAGCTTCTTCAGTTCTCCGAATACCATGTTCTAAATTTTATCAGTTGAAATTTAATCAGTCAGAAGAGTTTTTTTAAAAAAAAATAAAAATAAAAATGGATATTATAATTTTCAAAAGATTCTAATATAGGAAGAAACACTTCATTAAAAATGGATTTTTTTTATCAATCACAGAAGACAACAATTGATTTAATTACTGCAAGAGAGGTGCACTAAATACACTCAACCCCAATAATGTAATTCTGGGCAGTACACATCTGAAACTTCACTGATCTGTTCTGCAAAAAGAAAATCCTCAAATAGAGTCAGGGTAGTAGAATGGTAAAGGTATTTACAAATAAAAAATAATAAAATCCACATAAAAATCCATACAAAAATAAAGTTAAAAAGACAACACCCCTCCCCCCCCAATTGTGGATCTTCATGCTAGCTGACAGAGCCAAGCCTTAGTTCTTCTGCAAACCCAGCAAAGTGAGGGCCAACCTCACCTCATGGGACAACGTTCTCCATATACCTCATCTGTTAACATTTTGTAACTAATGAAGTCTGCAACATGAACCTCCTGTCTGGCCAGGTGAAATGAGTTTGACAAGGAGTCCCAGATTCTAGTCCAATTTCAGGTATGGAAACTTACTGGCTGCCTTTGGACCAGTCCACACCTAGAGTACTGCATCCAGTTTTGGTCACCACACTATAAAAAAAGATGTTGAGACTCTGGAAAAAGTGCAGAGGAGAGCAACCAGGATGATTAGGGGACTGGAGACTAAAACATATGAAGAACGGTTACAGGAACTGGGCATAGCTAATCTAGTAAAGAGAAGGACCAGGGGAGATATGATAGCAGTGTTCCAATATTTGAAGGGCTGCCACAGAGAGGAGGGGGTCAAGCTGTTTTCCAAAGCACCTGAAGGCCAGACAAGGAATAATGGATGGAAATTGACAAAGGAAAGATTCAACCTAGAAATGAGGAGGAACTTTCTGACAGTGAGAACAATCAATCAATGGAACAGCTTGCCTTCGGAAGTTGTGGGAGCTTCATCACTTGAGACTTTCAAGAAGAGATTGGACTGCCATTTGTCAGAAATGGTGTAAGGTCTCCTGCTTGAGCGGGGGGGGGGCAGTTGGACTAAATGACCTATAAGCAGTGGTGGGATTCAAATAATTTAACAACCAGTTCTCTACCCTAATGATTTCTTCTAACAACCAGTTCACCAAACTGCTCAGAAAGTTAACAACCGGTTCTCCCGAAGTGGTGCAAATTGGCTGAATCCCACCACTGCCTATAAGATCCCTTCCAACTCTATTAATCTGTTAAATCAGACACTCTCTATCTGCCTAATCAACCTGACAGGGGTGTTGTGGAGAAAAAGCAGGAGGTGGGAACAGTATGTATGCCACCCTGAGCTGCTGACCTAAAGGAGGATTAGAAACGTAATAAATAACATAAAAGTCTTACTTTAAAAAGCCATTCAAAGGTGTTTTTAAAAAGCTGTCCTTTACACAAACAATGTCTTTCAACATGAGAAGTTTCAGTAACAATCTTTAAATGCAATATCAGCTGCTGAACTTCCTTCAATTTATGATATGCTAAAACAATGAATCAGGGATTGAACTGAACTGAAAGTAAGATACTCACAAGTGCAAAATGGGGGTAGTGCAGGCATTAGCAAGCATGATTTTCAATTATTTGTTTTAATCCAGCACTGCAGAAGCTGATGAAAATATTAGAATCCTACGCCTGGAACTGATCACAAAGCCAAAAAATGAATTGGTCATGATTTGGTGGGATCAGGACTATCTGCTGTGTGTGCGCGTGTGCACGTGCACGTGCGCGTGCAAGTGTGTTGTTCTCAAATAAATTAAGATGGTGCAAAGTCCTATCTCTCTTTTATCTGCATTGCATCTGCCCTGCCCCCCAACATCTGGGAAAGGGAACGATTCAAGCAATTGATTCTAATCATGCCAAAGCAGCCTTTTAAATGTTACTGCACCAGCAATAGATGATACGATAGAAAAGTGACTCTTGTAATAATGTGTAAAAGACAAGAAAGGAAAAGAAGGACATATGAAATATCTAAAAACTGAAGGTTTGGTTGAAATATCTACAATTCCTTATCTTTGGAAAGTTGGTATCACAGAACAACAACCCCATTTGAACCCCAATTTATCTAGATGAAAAGGATCTTTGTTTTTTTAAAAATAATCTCGGTATTCATAGTCTCTGAAATTGATGTTTTCCCCATTTCTATACTTAAAAGAACCATTTTCCTTATGGTTATGACCTTACCACCATCATTGTGCAATCCTATACAAAACCAGAGTCCTCTCAAGGAGTTAAAGGGATTCTTTCCAAAATATGGACAAACTACATGGGCATTTAGCAGATAGCATCAAATATACAATTTTCCTATGGCTCTGGGATCCTGCTTCAAAACCTGGAGCTGATGCCAATTCTATTACTCATCCTGCTGTTTTCCCTGCTGAGTTTCTCTAGCAGTAAAATCTGAAGGGTACTTAAAAAAGAGCACTCAGTTAATAATGAGTACTGAGGAATAAATAAGTGGTGCTGCATTAACAGCTTTTCATTAGACAGCCATAGCACCTAGTGGCAATTACAGGTAGTCCTTGATTTACAACCATAATGGTGCCTGCACATTATGGTCCTAAGTCATGACAGTCATAAAGCAAATCATCCACATGATCAACTGAATTTAATGAATTGTTTTTGTGACAGTCATTAAGCAAGTTCACGATCTTTAAATCCATTATTCACTGTGGTATGTTCATGCCAAAAACTGAGGTAAACAATGTTTTTCAGCAAAAACACTGTAAATTGCAGTCACGTGGCCACAGGATACTACAAAGAGCCATAAATGTGAGCTGGTTACCAAGCACCAATAATGTGGTCATGTGCCTGCGCGCACACACACGCCCATTGGCTGATGGAATTTTGGAACTGAGTTGTATCTCTGAGGAATTGTTGCGGTCCGCCAGCGGCCTGCAGAGCTGGTAGCAGAGTCTGACAGTGAGGAGGCTGGGGAGGAACATGGCCAGTCCTGGAGTCTGGGGAAGGCTGGAACAAGGGCTCTGTGTCAGAGGCAGAGATGGGGCCAGGACCACCTGGGAGTTATGTGCGGACTCCAGAGCCTCCAGAGTCAAACATCAGTGAGGCAGAGGAACAGGGGGAGCCTGTTCCCAGTGTGCGCATGTGCAGAGCTGCCAGAAAGCAAGAACAGTTAAAATAAAAGGGTCGACTCGGGAGTAGGGCTTGGAGATGATAGGCCCCTCCCGTAAGACATAAAGGAGGAGCAAAGGCACGTGGGCCTTTGCAGGAAGCAACTGTTGTTTGTGCTGGCCGGTTTCAAGACTGCAGCTCTGTGTTGAATCTGTGTTCCGTGTGGCCTTGCAAAGTTAATTGCCAATTAGGTCTTGGCAGAGTGTCAAGGGAGATAAAGGTGGGCGTTTATCAGCCTTATCAGAAGAACTGTGGCAGACTTCTGTCAGACTCTTTACAACTATTTGGGACTCATCTGTTAATATAACAGATTGAGAATGAACAGTCTCTGAATGAGCAGAATTCATAGCTGTTGAAATAAAAAAAGGGGTTTTGGGACTCATTGTGTGCTTTTACTGTATCAGGAAGCCTAGGTCAGAACAGGAATCTGTCATAACTTTGAACAGTCACTAAATGATCAGTTGTAAGTCAAAGACTACTTGCATATAGTGAAAAACCTGTCACCACTTCCTGCTCCCTTTCATTCATTTCAGATGTGTTAGTGCCAACCTAAGGAAGTCTATCAAGGGAATGGAAGGCTACAGACATTGTCCTGGTAACATTGTGTAGGTGACTGACATTCCCATGCTCATTTTCTACCATGTAGCTCAATTTTAAACTGCCAAGCAATTCACTCTTAATTGCATTCCTTGAGTGCTTATTTTATTTATTTCTTGCATTATTGCTCTTTTCATTTATGAGTTCAGAGTACAGGCAGGGTGTGTGTGTGTGTTTCATTTTACTCTCATAACAAACCTGTGGTGTACATTGGTCTTAGCACAACTGGTCCAAGGTGACCCAATGTTATTAAGAAGAAATTTGAACCTGGATCTTTGCAATGCCAAAAATATGCCTGTAATTGTCCCTACTCTGAAATCTCCCAAGCTGGAAATTAAAAGTAAAAAGCTTTGTGCAAACAGATTTACCTGTTCTTGAAAAGCATTTGCTTGTTCTTCAAAGCCCACTGTTCTGAAATAATTCACCACATCTGTAACTGCCCAGTCAGCCGGATCAGGAGGTCTTCCATTCTCTACCAAGCTACGGAGTTTTAAGAAATTCAAACAAAAATGAATCTTTGGCATGGATGTACAAACTAGCACAAACTAGCTACTCAACTGCTCTCTCAAGAAAAAGAAAACCATCAGGGAAAACCATCTTACTTGATGATATAACCATCTTTT